GGCTGTACGTGCTGAGCCTCGCCTCGCCTTTCCCTGCTGCAGACCGTGGGCAAGAGCAGTAAGATGCTGCAGCACATCGACTACCGCATGCGGTGCATCCTGCAGGACGGCCGCATCTTCATCGGCACCTTCAAGGCCTTCGACAAGCACATGAACCTGATCCTCTGTGACTGCGATGAGTTCAGGAAGATCAAGTGAGGCCGGCATGGGTGGGGCGAGCGCTGAGGGGTGGGAGGCCAGGAAGGGAGCGGGAGGAGGGTGCTAATGGGTGACTGCGGCCTGGCCAGCAGCCTGTCCTTCCTGTCCACTGACTCAGATCAGAGTTGTAAAAGTCACTGCGTCGGAGCTTACTTCACGTTTATAAACATAGTCGTCGTTTTTCTGGGAATAAAACCCACACGGTGTGATCAAAATGCCAAGTTATGTTTATTTATTTATTTATTTATTTATTTTGAGAGGTTTTTGCTATAGGGCGTGTGCGCTCGCCAGGCAGACAGAGACAGACATAGAGACAGAAAGTGAGAAATCACCCCCCAGGGGGGATGGTCACGCCACAATCCCTTCTCCTCCATTCTCTTCTCGGGATCTTGGGCACGCACGCACACGCGCCTGGCGTGAGTTTTAAGCCACTGGGTCCGGGACGCGAACTGCGGTCGACTACGTGGGAATCCAGTGACATAGCCGTTACGCTAACTGCTGGTTCCCAATGTTTATTTTTAAGATTGAAAAATTATGCTGTTAACATAGTGGCTTCTTTAAGTCTTGAAGAAACTGAAGGAATCTTGGTCAAAAGAGAGAATTAACAATTCTTCATGCTTTAAGAGATGTGATTATCATTTAATTGCCTTTTCTCCTCTTCCTATTCCCTTTTTTTAAAAAATTTTGTTTCATGAGGATTTTCTATGATATATTTTTTAATTTGCCAGAGGGCGTGCACTTGCCGAAGCAGCCAGATGGAGTAGGAGGAAGGGCCGGCCATGCTGCCTCTCCTCTCCCTCTCTCCCCCATGGGGATCTGAGGGTAGGCACATGTGTGTGCTCCATGCCAAGGTGCAGGGCAGGAACTCGCACCATGTGCTCAGCCAGCTAGGATCCAGCCCCTAAACTGCCTGGCCGCATGACTGACCCAGACGGACTTTCTTATGTAAGGGCGTAAGTGAGAACAATGCTTCTCCGCTGAACATGGACATTGGGCTTCAGTGTCTCCTGTCTCTAAAGGCTTAGGATTTGCATCTATATTTAATGGAAGAAATTAGCTTCACTGTACTGTAACATTGTGGGGAACACAGGAGTTAGATAGGAAAGAGTTTTATCGGGCTGTCAGGAGAGTAATGGCATATTTTTCCTGCTCTTCTATGCAGAAATGCATCATGACTTTTCTAACCAACCCAATACTATTTTCCCCTATGTGTTAACTGAGTCAAGAGAGTTGTTTTATTTTCCTTGTTTCGGTGCAACTCAGTAACTGTCTCAGTGATCGTCTGGGCATCGGCTATTGTCTTGCTCAGTACTTTATGGTCTCTAAGTATTTCGGTGAGTGAGTGATCTAGAGAACACTAAAATGTACTTCTGATTTATAGGCCAAAGAATGCGAAGCAGCCAGAGCGTGAAGAAAAGCGGGTTCTGGGTCTGGTGTTGCTGCGTGGGGAGAACTTGGTATCCATGACTGTGGAAGGGCCACCTCCCAAAGATGTAAGAAGGGGCACAGGGCAGGGCAGACCTTGACTGTGGCAAGACGTCCCCTGTCCCGCCAGTCTGTGGGGCTGGGGCACAGCGGCTGCGGTGTGCTGTGGCTTAGTGAGTTGAGATACGTCCAGTTCTTCACATTCATTTTTGGTTATATTTAGTGGGATTAGGATTTTTAAAAATGAATTCTTTCTGTCGGGTGTTCCCTAAATAAGAGTAGGAGTTGCTGATGTGTTTTAGCTTGGCACGGTTAGGAAAGTATATGTCTTCACAACTTGCAAATATGGGCATTTGAGGAATTGCAGGCTTCCAGGAGATACTTGCTCATTCATGGAGATAGGTGGCCTGAGAGGGTGGTGGGGAGGAGGGACCTTTGGTGAGCAAGACTGCAGAGGGGTGGGTTTTAAGTCATGCATTGTCTTGTTTCAGACTGGCATTGCTCGAGTACCACTTGCTGGAGCTGCAGGAGGCCCAGGGGTTGGCAGGGCAGCTGGCAGAGGTGTCCCAGCCGGTGTACCAATCCCTCAGGCTCCTGCGGGGTTAGCAGGCCCTGTCCGAGGAGTGGGCGGCCCCTCCCAGCAGGTGAGTGGGAGGAGGGGGTTTTATATCCTTGGGAGAATGTGACAAAACGTTACAATTTAAAACCTAGGTGTATGTCTTACTCTATGTAGGCTGCATATTCCTTAGGAGGAACTGATGGTGAATATACAATACAGAAGGATGAGAATAAAACTATCATAGCCACTTGAAATGGTCATGGGTTGATTAGCGCTGTCTTCTTAAGAGTACCTTGCTGCCATTGTTTACTGGGAGAACAGTGGGTGGATATACCAGAGGTGAGAAAAAGAAAGGGGCGTATCAAGTGTCAGTGTGCAGTTTTTCATTTTGATTTAATTTTAATTTTTTTTTGCAGTAGTTTATGCACTGACTGGAGAGAGATGAGGGTGGGGAGGTGAGAATGAGAAAGCATCCCATAGGGAGGAAGGCCATGCCACAATCCCTCCTCCTCCCTCCCGATATTTTGAATGTGCATGCATGCACACATGCCCTGTTTTTCAGGCTGCTGGGCCCTGGACTCGAACCATGCAGTCAGCCATGGGCGATCCAGCTGCCTTAACCTCCATACCACCGCTGGATTGCCAAAAGTTTCCTCCTAAACAAAAGGATAGTGAGGAGCAAAGAGTTGTGTTACTTTAGTACGTGTAGACCGGGCCCTGCTCATGCTGGTCCGGCCCGTGCGCATGTGCGCTCACTCATTATGGCATTGCCTCCTCAGGTGATGACCCCACAGGGCAGAGGCACTGTTGCAGCTGCTGCTGTTGCTGCTACTGCCAGCATTGCTGGAGCCCCGACTCAGTATCCCCCAGGACGGGGGACTCCACCCCCACCGGTAGGCAGAGCAACCCCACCTCCAGGTAAGGGATTGGTGAGCAAGAGCAATGTGGGCTGCCGATGAGAGAATGGCATCTTCAGGAAGTGATGACTACAAGTATTCTGAACAATGAGATATGGCATAGGTGCAGCCTAAGTGGTTAGGAATTGGTGAACATATTTTCAGATGCTTGTTTTCTTAAAAGACTATGATCTCAGGGCCAGCAGGTAGCATGGTGGTTAAGGCACTGGATTCCCACATGGCAGACTGTGGTTCACATCCCACTTCCAGCAAATCATGGCAGGTGTGTGTGTGTGTGTGCCCCAGATCCTGAGAGGAGAATGGTGGGCCAGGGATTGTGGTGTCACCATCCCCCAAGGGATGATTTCTCACTTTCCTTCTCTATGTCTCTGGCAGGGCACACACACCCTATGGCAGAAACCTAAAAACCAAACACACACACACGCAAAACCTACGGTCTCTTGAGTCGGGATGTTCCATAGGGTGTAATGATCGCAGAGCAGCTATCTCACTTTTACAGTGTCTGGTGCTGACTCTTTAAGTTTTATCTCGGACTGTATTCTAACTATTTTCGTAAGCCAATTTTTGGGGACTTACATCTGCCATTTTTTTTTTTGTAGGCATTATGGCGCCTCCACCTGGTATGAGACCACCCATGGGTCCGCCAATTGGGCTTCCCCCAGCTCGAGGTACGCCGATAGGCATGCCCCCTCCAGGAATGAGACCCCCTCCACCGGGGATCAGAGGTGAGTAGGAGAACAGCGCCCCACAAGGGCAGCCTGGCTCCCAAGTACTTGTATGCTGCTTTTCTAATCGTCTCACGGAACTTTGCTTCTTCTATTCTAGGTCCACCTCCCCCGGGAATGCGTCCACCAAGACCCTAGGATACTATTGATCCAACTCAGTCACTTTTTCCTGCAGTGTGTCCTGTGAAGTTGTGTAGAGTGTTTGTGAGCTTTCTGTCCCCACTTCTGCATTAAACATAGCTAATAATAAATACGTAGAGAAATTAAACTGTGAGGTACTGTTGTACTTTTTAATTTTTTGAACTCAGAGTGAAAACTGGGGTTTTTCTGGTCTTGAAGTTCTTGTGGATGAGGTGAAGCCATTTAAGCAATTTGTTTAAATCCCTTTTTTAATTGTTTGTTTTTTTTTTTTTGATTCTGTGAATAAGACGGTGTCGTACATGTGTTTGGCTGGTCTTGGCTCACAGCCTTCATGTCGCTGTGCACTGCAGTGGAGACTCGTGATCCGGGAGGGGAGTGGCTGTGCTCAGGTTCGCACATGGCCTCCTGCTCTGTACTTGACTCTGCCACGTCATCTGAAGGGAATGGGGATGGGATGAACGGCTTGGTGAGGCCACCTATGTGTTGGAGGGGTTGGTAGCCCCAAGCAGGAGTGACTTCCTCCTTCCTTCTTTGGAAGTTTGCCTCAGTTGATCAGCTTTTGCTGTACCTGTGATCAGAGTAGAGGACCTGATTTCTGGAATAATCATTCTATGCCAGTGTGTAAGTATTCATTTATAATGTTCTAAATGAAAGGGGCAGATCCTGGGTACTTGGAGATGGTGTTTAATATACCACAGAGAAGTGTAGGTGATCTCTTTGTTAGCTGGGAATGCCCTAGTTATGAAACTACTGAGTCATTTAAAAAAACTTTTTAATTTTTTTAAAGAGAGATTTTTGCTATAGGGTTTGTGCACTCATTGGAGAGACAGACAGGAAGCAAGAAAGTACTACCCAGGAGGAATGGCTACGCTGCAATGCCTTTTCCTTGTGGGATTTTGGGCATACATGCACACGCACCCAGCATGAGTTTCAAGCTGCTGGGTCCAGGGCTCAAACCATGGTCAACAAACCATGGTCAACTGCATGGGAGTCCAGCAATATAACCATTATGCCATCTGCTGGCCCCATTAAATTTTATTTATTGATTTATTTAGGCTACAGGATGTGTATGCTTGCAGGGCCGGGGGAGATGGTCACACCACTGTCCCTTCTCCTCCACTCTCCTCTCCTGCATGCATTTTGGCATGTGCTCACACAGGCCCTACATGTTATCCAAGCCACCAGGCCGGCACGCGTACCTCAGAGTTGGCCATGTGGAGGTCAGCTGCCTTAACCACCATGCTACCAGCTGGCCCAGAGGTCATTTTTCAGAGGGAAACAGGGAGGGGGGTTTTTAGATTTTGCTGCTAAGGTTTCAACCAGGCTATAGTAAGTGAATTACCCATAAGGATTATAGGAGATACCTTTTTAAGAATCACTGTTACCAGTAATTACTGTTGGTATTAACTTCATAATTAAGATGGTCAGAATGATTAGGATTGTTTTCTTTCTTGATTTTTACCCCAGTGATTGTGTAGATGTTACATTTTCCTTCCTTTAAGCATGTCTTCTTGAGGAAAAGTAACCATAAAAGCAGCTATAGTTGTTGTCACAGCCAGAGTGGTTTCTAGAATTGATTGGTACTATTCGGTAAAGATCAAAAGTAGCCAGGCCTTAGTTGGTTTAGAAAATTCATGTAATAGTAGATGTGACATCAGTTTTGCTGATAGAGAGTGGTGAGGAAGCACTCCCCCCAGTGGGGGGCATTTACACACCACAATCCCTCCTGTTTCCCTCTCATCACAGGATTGTAGGCATGCATGCATACACACCTAGTGTGTTTTCAAGCTGCCAGATCTGGGACTCAGACCTGCAGTAGGCCATGTGAGATCCAGCACCATAACCACCGTGCCACTGACTGGCCTGACATCGCTGTTTTCAGAGTTTGTAAATGTTTAAAAAAAAGAGAGAGAGAGAGAAAGAGGGAAAAAAATTGTATTAAAGCTCAGACAAGGTTCTTTTTCTGGATCTCGAGACAAAGCTACTCAATTGAGACTAATTGCCCAATAAGGCAGATACTTTTGCTCTAGAAATAGTACATGAATGGTGTGTAAAAACCTGTTTTTTTTTTTTTTTTCTGTCCAGTCTGCTTTGTGAACCTGCTTCTGATAGTTTGTGACAGGTTTTTTTGGTTTCTTTGTTTTTTGGAAGGAAAACGTTCCTCCTTGAATCGATCTGATGTGGATGAACCTTAGATTTTGGCATGAGCTGGTGGTGCAACCATAACTGGAGAAACTTCCTTAGCCAAAACTGGCCTGTTTTGCACTTCAGAAGTGAGTAAAAAGAACTCTAGCTACTGAAGGTAGTTGCTCCTGATAGCCGTTCCGCTTGGTGGTAAGACCACTTCTGCCTAGAGCTTCCTGGACCTTTTCAGAGCTATGATTGGTTAGGGACCTAGATTTCCATGTAGTTGAGTGAGGCTTGAGTTGTATAAATGTTTTGTTATAGATTGCTAGATCCAAGTTTTTGCAGGATTCCGTAAGGGATGCACATCAAATGTAATACTGGTCTTTAGATATTTATGGGAGCAAATGCTGCTGTCACTTAGAGATCATCATGCACTCTAGCATTGGAGCGAGTACCTGTCTGAAACACACTGGGAGCCAGCAGGTGGTGTGGAGATTAGGGCACAGGACACAACATGGCACCCTGCAGTCTGAGTCCTAGACCCGGCAGCCTGAAAATCAGGCCAGATATGTGTGCAGGTGTGCCCAAAATCCTGCGTGGGGACGGAGGGAGAATGGGTTGTGGTGCAGACATCCCTCCTGGGAGGTGATTTCTCACGTTCCCTCTCTCTCCTGGGAGAGCACACGCATACTATAGCTTTAAAAGAAAAACCTGTTGGATATCTTTCCTGATACAGGTATTGACTTTGACTGCATAAATACATTCGTGTTGCATATCATGTTTGGAATTTATTTTCATTGCCATTTGCAGAATAATTTCAAGTAAGAATTCTGGGGTGTAGTAATGATGCTGCCCTAAAATAATTTATGAAGTCTTTGGTGTTCTGGGTTTATCAGATAGGTAAACTGGACTTGGTATTAAAAAGATTTTGAAAGTTACATAAGGAAGCTCCCTGATTTTAGAAACTCATTAGTCCTTAATTTTATGATCGTGTCAAAATTTCAGAGTACTAACATGCTTGTGTTTTATTTCTTGTAGGTTCTTTCTTGTGCTAACATATTGCAAGTAGAAACGGATTTATATAGATAATTATGTGATAATAGTTCTACTTGTCTGGAATATTTGTTTATTTTTTAAAGGTTTTTGTCATATGTGTGCTTGCCACAGAGAGAAAGAGAGACAATGAGGGGAAAGTTAGCAACTATCTCCTCTGGGGTTGGCCGTGCTATAATGCCTTTTCCACTCTCCTCCTGGGATCTCGGGCATCCATGCAAACACATCTGGCATGATTTTTTTTTTAAGAGAGAGGTTTTTGCTATAGGGCACGTGCACTTGCCAGAGAGACAGAGAGAGACAGAGAGACAGAAAGCGAGAAATCACCCCCCAGGTGGGATGGCCATGTCGCAATCCCTTCTCCTCTCAGGATCTTGGGCATGCACGCACATGCGCCTGGCGTAAGTTTTAAGCCACCATGTCCGGGACTCGAACCATGGTCGACTACATGGGAGTCCAGTGACATAGCCATTAGGCTAACTGCTGGTCCCACATCTGGCATGATTTTGAAGCTGCTGAGTCCAGGACTCTTGTCAGCCATGCAAGAGTCCAGAGCCTTAAGCATCATGCCACCTACTGGCCCCTGTCTATAATAGAATTTTTATAATCTTGTTTCAAAGAGTAGACAGAAGACACTTTATATAGTATGTTCATCTGAAATAATCATCTTTTTTTGATGAAAATAAGTTATCAGTTATAGCCTGTGCTGTATCAGGTGGAATTTCCCAGTGGGTGCTCCAGCCGATGATGCATTGCTAGGGTCTTTCCTACTCGTCTTTGCATACCAGCTCCCTTGGTTCTGTTCATACCTGTTGTTGTGCTCAGTATATGACTTGTGTGGAGTAAAGTTGTGTTATTGTGAGTGTTCTGTAGTGGGAGAGTGACACCTGAACGCGAAATTCTCATGTGATGCCTTTTTGCTACTTAGTTGATGACTCTGAAAGGAAGAGAGAATTTGCTCACTGAATTTTCTGACGTGTCATCAGAGAGGATCCTACCCAGTAGCGTTGCACCGAGGCTGAATATTATATTAGCTGCATTTAGGACAGAAACATTAACCACTCCAGGTAAAATAACCTTGTAAAACAAAAAGTAAGAGGATATTGCCGAGGCCTTGGCTAGGTTCATGATGACACTGGACCTTGTCTGAAAAAAGTGATTTCAAAATTTGAGCTTAAAATAATACTCTGAAATCCAGTCAATGTGCCTCACTACACATTCAGAGCATGTTCCTCTCAGTAAGAAACCTGCACTTGACGCATAAAATGTTAAATGCTTCTACGTGGCAAGAGTAGTTACACTTTGCCACTTCAAGCACCTTTTTTTTTAATAAAAAAAGAAAATTCATAGATATTCTGAGCTAACTCTCTTTCTTCTTTGTGTACTTTGTGCATGGTTGAAAAGCTAAAAGGAAACTCCTTGGATCCCTAAAGGCACAGGCGCCAGAGGAGATGGAAACAATGATACAGAAAATGAGACTCCCACTTCCTGGAATGAAAAAGCACCAGAATTCTCTGGGCTAAGTGAAGCCCGGGAAGGAGGGAGCTGCCTGTGGGGTTACTGTGGGATGCAGCCAGTGTGGTAAGTACCTGGCCTGGGTGCTGCTGTCATCTTAGGACATTTTTTTTTTCAGTAGATGCTTTAAAAAACACTAGGGAAGTGAAAGAAAGTGTCCTTCTAAAACTAGTTTAGAAAGGAAGGTTTTAGGTATTTTAGAATTGGTTTCCTTCTCGTGATGGAACCTCTGTGATTTGAATCTAGGCTAGTCTCATACTTGATTCCATACTCTCACTAGGAACTAGCCATTCCTAGGCGGGGTCAGTCAAATTTCTTAATATTTACCAGCAGTCGTTCTCATACCTGGTCATGACCATTAAACTGCATTTTGGACATATCTTAGTCACACTTTCTTTGCTGACTGATGGTTCTGCTGCCTGATAGG